AAATAATTGTGCCGTGTAGACAAAACAGAGAGCTTTGAGTGTTAAGGCATTTGGTATGTATAGTTACCACTGGGCTTTAAAGGGTTAATTGAGTAGTTAGCATGGAAGGCGGGATATTCTGACTTTGGTGATGAAAATGTTGCAATATCTTTTACACAAATAAAGCTGAAATTTGTCATGGTATAATTTTAGTGCCTTTTAGGCCTGTGTATCAGTAAGTCAACATGGTCGCCAGGAGAGAGAGTTTTCTTTACGCTGCTAAGTGTTAGGCGGGCAGGCACTGTCATCAATCAACAGGATGACGTGTTGAAGACTCGTGCCCGCGACAGACTGCATCAGTTTGATCAATGAGCCTTAATGGCAGAGACACAAGAGGTGCTCCACAGACCAGTGTCTTTATTTTGTCTGTCTCGTCCATAACATCTCGGGATTGCAATTACAGCATACATAGAAAAAGACCTCAGATATCTAAGGGTTTGGGATTCAATGACAGGAGCCAGTTGAGGCTTTACAAGTTATCTCGAGCTTTCTACGATTTTTGATTCGCGATTTCGAAGTCAGGACTTGGCTATGTTGTACTTCCTAGAACTGAGCGACCAAACTCAACACTGCGGTCTCAGGAGTACCTAGAATTCTGAACACTGGGTTAACATTGCCTTGATCGTATAGAGATCACTAGAATTTTGAAGAAATGGGCTCAAAATTGTAATCTGATTCATGATTTGCTTGGTTGTTTCCAACAACTTAGGAGACCATGATTCGACAATAAAAATGTATCCATTTTCTTCATTCTAGGGTCTGAAAAATCCAACTTAAAGCATAAGACAGGGTTCAGAGCTACTGGACCAGATTATTTCTCTAGGGTTGGACAGATCCGTGATGAACACCGCTCAAACTTTCATTACGCCAAATTCTATAGAATGTGAAAGACTCCGGTTTCTTTGTTTCCACTAACCTTTTTAGACTACCTTCTTATACATAAAAAAAAAAGATTTACGAAATTATCTTCCTGTCTGTACCATGTATGTGTATCCCCCTTCTCACTGCTAAACAACAGCTCGGCAAACACGTTCTGGCGGCAACGAATACACAAGCAACAATAGAAACTCCATGTCTATGTCCACTAAATTACTGTTGGTCCTCGCCAGCACAGTCGTTTTTTCTATCAAGCCCCGTCGGAAACAATAAAAAAAATACTCGAAGCGTCGTTTTATACGCGGTATTTGTAGTATCAAAGGATAGCACACCAACATTTTCTCCCAGATCTTCTTGTTAAATTCGATACACTCGTTTTCACCCGAAACTTGACGAAAAACACCTCAGTCAAAACAATCTGCCACTAAACACAATCTGTCACAAGTGTTTCCTCCCCACAACGCAACTTTATTACTTTGTTCGCTAAACATAACTCCGATGAGCCACATCCTCGAATTCACGCGAAGAAACTTAAATCCCGGTTGAAATTTTACTTTGCTGACTCGACTGCCAAGCTTCACGAAAGAGACAACAATTTTAAATCCCACGTGGACTGCTAAATCCCATCCTACTCAATAATTGTAGCACAACATGACGTAAAACCAGTTGAAAGCTTCCAAGCGTTGTCCCTTAGGGACAGTATGTAACTCTTAAGATAATCCCTTAGCCTTTAATCTTGAACAATTCACTTAGACTAGAGTCTGGAACCAACTTGTCTTTCACCAAATTCACAGAGAAATTACACGGAGCGTGAAGCGTTGCTAGTTTACATTGAATTCATCGCCACAGATGTACGGAGACCACGACAATATGTGAGAAACAAAAGGCATGCCCAGTCGCTAAGTAGCAGCTGTGGTCTGCCGATACACATCATCACCCCTCTCAAATATTAATGACCATATCAGGAAGAGCCTAAATGTCAGGCTGCAGTAATGGCCGCTAGAGGAGCTGCGAATCTCTTTGTAGGATACCTCCCTAATTCGTCGCACGCTTGAAATTATCAAAGCGACATAATTAAATTCCACACACAAACAACACACTAATTAGCCAACTAAACGACTTGCTAACTTAATAAAAATCTTACTATGTAACTAAGTGTAGCCGGGAAGGCTTAGTCACTATGTGATTTGACTATTTGTTTAGAATATCGTAGTGTCAGTCCTGGTGTGGGCAAATTTTTGGGATACCGCGCCCACACCTGCTCTGGAAACCAACCAGACTTCTGCTCAACGAATATCGAGGACTCTTCTTCGAGTATAAAACGTAATAGTCCCGAAACTGACCACTCACCTCCGTTTAGTGTAAAATTTAAGAATATGTGGAAATATATCTCCATTCCTGCATAACTAACTTCATCGTTCAAGCTCTAATTTGGAAAGTTGATGGTTACATAATTCGTAAAAATAATTATCTGTGCTTATTGAGTATGAAGTTTGAATACAGTGTCCACAAAAGGTCTTAACTGAATGTTACTCTGTGTTTCCATCTTTGTTCTTTATGCCTTCATTATTAAACGTAATCGTTTTCGTGTGTGATTGCAAAAGTCGAACTGTTAGCTTCTGTAGTTGTGTGACAATGGAAATAATTTCTCCAATGGTTAAAAGAAGCGCTTGGACTGTATGTGCCATTTCAGATAAAAATAAAAGGAATGTTCTCTGTGGAACACATTAGATAAAAATGTTATTTATTTTTATTTTCTGAAGACGAACAAACTACAAAACATCATATATCCTTTTATTCATTCAAAGGAAAATGTCAAAATAAAATATACGTTCGTCAGTTTATTTACAGTTACTCTAAATAGGGCAGTGTTTGTTATCACGTTTGTCTGTTTGTCGTTCCCATGGAAATTAAATATAGAATTACAATTTAACTTATTTACGAGAGAATCATAAGATAGCGGCAACAAATAAGCGGCCTCCATAGTCTAGAAGTAACGTTCCCACCTCATGACTCGTAGTACGCGGGTTCAAATGCCCGGCGGGGGTTGTCGAATTTTAAGGGCGGAAAAATTCAGGGAACAAGTCCTCCGGGAGGGACTTTAAGCCGTGGGTCCCGTGTCGTAGCTTTACGGCACGTAAAAGAACCTCATACCTCCAAAGGAGGTCAGTGAGCCAAAATTGCGGATGTTTGCCGCCCAACAGTAGTCACTAATACCTCCGGTAGATGGGGGAAGCATTATAGATACTTGTCAGCCAGTAGAGCCGGCCTCGCTGGCTGGGGGGGGGGCTGATGGTAAGCACCAATACCGGTAGGATATAGAGACTGGTAGAAATTATAGAGGGAAGCACAATGGACCACTACAGGTCTAAGTGCATGGGGAAACCCACCCTCTCTAATAACTAACTAGCGACAACAAATGGCAGTTTTAGTGAGTACTGAGACGTCGATCCTTGCCCAGTGAAAGTAGCCCCAAAAGTAGTATCGTTATGCTTATGTTACCAAGCTGCCTTTCCGTACCAAAATATTGAACGAAAACTTGGTAATGTATAAGACAGGATCAGTGGAGGGGACTTCTTGGAAATCACAGCAGTAGATTGGATTTGTCAAAACTATGACGTTGAACTTTCGACGGACATGTCATTAGCAAATACAATTATTAAAATGACGGTAAATAAAGTAACAGATATACATAACTAGAATACACAGTTCCCTTTGACACGCCTTAAACATTAATGTATTCTGAACTCTTTGAACGTTTATCGATAACAGACATTCTGATGTTTCCTGTCTCCAATGGCGAAACGTTACATGTAGCAAAGGTATCTCTAATAGCTACTTGCGCACAATAACGATTGTTGTGCTGTGACGGTTTTCAGTAAGAAATAATAATGATACTAGGGAGTTGCTGAATCGTTTGAGACTATCTGACTCAATAGGCGTTATTGAGACAACTACTTTTTCCTTTCCTTGGCACTACAGCCCCAGTGGGCCTAGGCCTACCTCCATGAACTTCTCCGTTCACTTCGGTTTTTCTCAATCTTACACATTCGGTAGGACTCATTGGGCGGGTGATCAGCTCGTCGCAAGGCCTCTACCTGTACACAATCACAGAAAAACGCACACACACAAAATAATCATCCATGTCCGGATTGGGATTCGAACCCACGATCCCGGTTTCCAAGCGAGCGAAGACAGTACATGCCCTAGACCGCTCAGCTACCGCGATCGGCGACAACTACTTATACCCAGGAAATAGTCATTGCCTTCTGCAGGAAGATGAGCTGAGTTAATGGGGCTTTCGTCTGTAAGATCGCCCTCAAACACTTGACATTTCCACACCACCCCAATCCCATAAAAGGTCAGAGCAGTTTCCTCTTGCACAATATCCCTGCATACAAATTCCAGAGATGGGGAATTGAAAGGGGTTGTTTTCTAAGCTCTTCTTGCTTCCTTTAGATTTTGTTTCTTCTTCTTGGTTTCGATGTCCTTTTGTTCTTAGGGTTCATCACCGTATTTTATTCCCCTTTCCCTCTCTACAACCTTTACAGTATAAACTAGGTTATCTCAATTCCCAACAGAGGCATTGTAATGGAGTCTGCCACTTACCAGTGAGTTTGAATGTGAGCTACATTGAATCGTACCAATCTTTATTAAGTCTAACCTTGTTGCAAACAACGGAATCAGAAAGTAATTTAATTTATCCAATGATCAATAAGTTAAACTACATTTTCGTAATGGCAGATATATTATCTAAATTCTATTCAATTTCTTATAAACGATTTCATCGATTAAGGAGTGAAATTCCCCATTTTACTAAGGATTTTAACATCCCAGACATGTAAACGATTCATTGGACTTTGATTTTCCAGAATATGTAATTAATAATAAGTATATCTCGAATTGGCGTTTCAAACACGTTAGGGTATAACGGAAATTTTATATGTCTAAATGCATATTAGCTACAAAATTGCGAATTACGTAAGCTTAGTGTTGGGTTGTTAATGAAGCGTTGAGTCCATAAATAGGATAAACGTAACGGTACATGCAAGTCAGTACACATATAGATGGCAGCACCTACTCACCCCGTATCTTCTGCTCCTCCATGAGTTGTCGCTCTAGGTTTTCTTTCACTTCTCTCTCTCTCAGCACGTCCATCTTCAACTCGGCTGTAGCAAAGAGAAAACAATTGATAACACGGCCTACAAATGAACACATTGCATTCTTAGTAATAATTACATAAGTATATGGTTGTTAAAACTATCCCTGTGACAGGCCGTGAAGGCCCATATGGTTGTGAGACGTCGAGGTTCCCAAATTTTCTAGACGATCGGAACACAGATGGCGGTAAGTTTGTCAATCTTACGCGCCGGCCGCCCTTTACTCCAGGAAGATTCCTCGTACTCATTTCTGATTTGACCCCGGGGCCACAGTGCTGCTGGAAGGGTTAGGCCAATTGAAAAATCCAATGACCTCATCGGGAAGCAAACACGTGACCTTCTGATTAGTACCGCGTGTCCCATATGGTAACAAGGTAAGGTAATATGTCCCTGTGCCTAACTGATTAAGTGCCATGGCATGAAGACGTATGGGGGAGCAGAGGTGTAGCTCCACCGTTCTTAACCCCAACACTATGCTCCAGGCTCTTTAACACCGGTCTTTATTATGTGGGAGGTTGCGTGGGCCCCAAAACCGGTTTTGACTCTGTATAGGAGAGATAAATCACTTGACCCTGCTGGGAATCAAACTCCGGCCATCCGTTCCGTAGTCCGTTGGTACTCCGACTGGGCTATGCGGGCTCATGGAGTATGATACTACGAAAAACAATTGATTTATTCATTCGCGCGAGAATGGGCAGTGCACCGGAGACTATTGCACCTAAGAGAAAGGGTACCACGATTCTGAAGATACTGAAGCCACCTCCTGGGAACTATCAGGATTATGAAATCAAGAAGCTTCAAGCGGGTGGGACATGTATCCCGCATACAGGAAGATGAAACCGCATACAAAACTGGAGTCGGAAATCCGGCAGGAATGAGGCCACGTGAGAAATATGGGGTACATATGAGGATAATATTAAAACCTGTCTCTGAGAATTAAGGTATAAGTTCGTGGACTGGATTCAATTTCTTCAGACAGGATCCAGCAGCGGCTATCATTGTTGTTATAATTATTGTTATTATTATTATTATTATTATTATTATTATTATTAGTAGTAGTAGTAGTAGTAGTAGTAGTCGGATAATATATCTTGTCTTCATAAAAAGTAGGGGATTTTTTACCATTCAATTATCAACATTGTTGTAGATTCTAAACGATTCTGACGATGGCGTACAATACTCAGTACTGCTGAGTTTTTAGACTTTGTCCATCTTCCGGTATTCTAGAAACTATAGATGAGGGAGGAAAGACGGAAACAGATCCAGTTTCCGAAAAGTTGTTTTTTCTAGTTTCTAAAATACCGGTCGATGGACAAAGTCCTGTTTACGAATTTGCACAACTTCATGGAACAATACAGACCCCTTGACATGATTGCGAAAATCTACCAGTTGACCCCACCCTGATTCAGTTAACTTACATTCCTGTTTTTGCAAATCTATTTCTCTCGGCTTTCATACCAGGACATAACAGGAAGACGCCTGCCCGAAATATTTCGGGCGGTATGCGCTGCTGATATTAGTGTATTTGGCGAGAATATATGTACCACAAATAAAAATATACAAGTCCTTGCTCTATTAGACGCCGATAAAGAGTTTAGTCTAGAAGAAAATACAGAGAAAATTAAATATCTACTCCGAGTCATGCAAATATGCTGTCAAAAATGTGATAAAGTTAAAATACTGGAACGATTGTAACAAATATAAATTGCGTTCACAAGGATACTAAGAGGAGATCATACCAGGGAATTCTTACTTCCACTAAGTTCAGAATCTACCTTCTCCGTCTAAAATCCAAATGCTTGAAGACGGAAATAAATAATAGAAAAAAATATAATTTAACTTCTTATTTTGTATGATTGATCGCCTCTGTGGTCTAGTGGTCAGAGTTCCTGGTTACAGATCCAGAGGTTTCGGGTTCGATCCCCGTCGCTACCAAATTTTCTGAGAAGTAGTGGGTCTGGAACGGGGTCCACTGAGCCTCTTGAGGATAACTGAAGAGCTATTTCGAAGAAATAGCGGCTCCAGTCCAGAAAACCAAAATTAAGGGGCGTGGGGATTCGTTGCGCTGACCACGCGACACCCTCTAACCGCTGAAGTTGGCACTAACTTCACCAACAAGCGGCGGTCGCTCGGTCGGTATAGTTCGCTTGCGGACTAAAGCCACGGAGTTTTTGATTTTGTGTGAGTCTGAAATATCTTTCACATTCATATAAGAATATAGATATCAGTTGAATGAGAACAGGAAGCCGAGGGAAGTATATGGACCTCAGAGGCTCAACGGACAGAACCTTAGCTAGAGATCGGAATTGTAAGCTGTCGCGAATTTCACTAGCAAAACGACATTAAATACTGTCAAACGCATGAGAATAAAATGAAACAAGGACTACTTTAATGAAATTAAAATTTCCTCGTCAGCCTATTTCCTATAAAAACATAAATATGAAAGAAAGATTGTTCCTTTGATTAATTCTCGACCCCACCTTGATTACGCACCGGAGAGTACAGACACAAGTGTAACTCGGTGTACATTAATCTCGTTACCAGATGGAGGAAAGTGGTCAGCTTCAAAGCTCGAACCACTGTACCCTTGAGAAAATAACTCCTGATATTCATTATATTGGAATCTGCGTGAGAGTTAGAACTGGTATGATATCAAAGAATGAAATAAGAAAAATTCCTGCCTCCACCAGGAATCGAAACCCTGTGATTCAGCCTGTTGCCTGTTGAGTAAAATGACTGACCTGTCCAATCGTAAGAAAACTCATATTTATATTCGTGATTTTGTAGCCTATTCTAATACCAAGATATTGTGACTGATGGGGCCAATTCTAGGAAACGAATATATAAAAATATTACAAAGCGTTCAAGAATAGGAGCCCATTGCTACGCAACGGATCTGGTACTATGATTCACTGCACGCAGTGTAACTTTATCCGTTGAAAGCCGGTAACCACGGCAAAGAATCGTTGAAAGCACAGCAACGGAGGGACGCGATAAGATTAATTATTTGGAACGGTGACTCATATTCGGTCAGCTGAAGGGTTATGTCAGACACAGAAGACAGAGGGAGAAGTGATAACCAGAAGACAGACACAGAAGTCAGAAGAATACGCCAGAAAAGTCAAAACTGAAGTCTTTAGTTTATAGTGTGTCATCAATATTCATAGTTGCTGGTCACAGCAGTCGCGCAGGCATGAACTGTCTTCGCTCGATCGGACGCTGGGATCGTGGGTTCGAATCCCATTCAAGACATGGATGTTTTATGTGTGTATGCGTTCATTCTGTGTTTGTGTTGTCCTGTGTTTAGGTAGAGGCCTTGCGAAGAGCTGATCACTCGTTCGAGGAGTCCGACCGTCTGTAAAAAATGAATTTTTCCTTGGCACTACAACTCCAGTGGGCCTAGGCCTACCTCCATGAACTTCTCCGTTCACTTCGGTTTTTCTAGATCTTACACATTCGGTAGGACTCCCTGGGCGGGTGATCCGCTCGTCGCAAGGCCTCTACCTAAACACAGGACAACACAAACACAGAATGAACGCATACACACATAAAACATCCATGTCTTGAATGGGATTCGAACCCACGATCCCGGTTTTAAGCGAGCTAAGACAGTACGTTACATGTCTTAGACAGCTCGGCTACCGTGACTGTCGTAAAAATGATTACGGAACTAAATAAGAGGCCTGGGCCCTAATGGGTTGGAAGAGCCACTGAAAAAAAAGTTCACAGTTACGAAGTGTTATAGTTACAGTAAGATCCAAAGTGTTATAATCAATTGTAGTTTATCCTGTTTAATATCCAATAAATCTACCCGCGTCTAAAATCAATGGACGTGACAATATAGAGCGCTTTAAAATTCATTCCACACCCTGTATACAGTTCCATAACCTTATGCTTAGGCTATATGGACAGTGTTACATTCATGATAACGTTACCGGATTCTGATTTGTGTTGATTCGCTGAAACGAACCAAATCGTCTCCCAAGCACAATCGGATGGCTTGCACATTCGAGTGCTGTATCCTGAGGCTCTGTTAGTTTTTAGATCTGAAGAATTGATTTACTTTGTTTTCGGCTCTCTTGAGCAAGGTCTTAATTAGCATTTAAATCTAAAACATTTCGGTAGATGGCACACAACAGCAAGTAAGTATGCCCGGGGCGCTACGAGACTCACTGTTGTTATGCAAATTCGACAACAGGGGCTTGGGGTGCAGAGCAGGAAGAGGTTACAACCAATACATGACAAGGGGTGATTCTCCACAGGGGGCGCTGATAAAGTTATGTTAGTTTCTGTTATAAGCACTCTGTGAATTTAAACAACGATTCTCAATAAAAAATTTCCACGGTCACATTCATGAAAAAATTTAGACGTATGTTCATTCGTAACAAAAATAATTGACCTGGAAGCATTTATAAACAGTTAAGTTGGCCTAAGCTTCACTGAGGAAAAATAATTTGTCGTGGCAATGTTTTTAAAATAAATATCTGCAACGTATAAGGCTTATAAAACGGTGTTTTGGATTGACCGATTGGATTTATTATACATTCACACAACACGGGACTTCAGGCGATACAGCGCTATCTCTGATCTACACACTTTACAGTTCACCGTTACGCAGCACTAGGATTCTCAGTCTTCACTAGTCGTATCCTGGCAACGGATATATAAGCGTCTCAATGTAACTTCAGATTACTCATTAAGTCTTCCTTGCACAGCCTAATTCATTTCTCGCCCTTTGTTCTCAGTCACCTTTGACTGCCATCTCCAGAATTCGACCAAGTTCACGACAACTGCTCCCTTGAAATTTCTTAGCACGGACCACTAAGAAATCACAGCCTCTCTATTGTTGAAAAGGCTTATTACTGATCCGTTGGCTAGCAATGGAGATATACGTCAAGCATCATGCCCTTCTTTCAAATCACTTCAGTACTTCGTGGACAAAAATAACCGGTGATAAAACATTTCACACGATATTAATTTTCATTATATTCAACTAGGTTTTTCATGCA